ATTTTGGTGTTAAGGGATCTGTTTATGGGTTTTATGGTTTCTTTGTGGGGTTTGACTGAGTAAAAGAAAAAAATATTTGTTTCATGTGTCAAACTGCTACAAAAGATATAGGCCTATTTTGTTTGTTGAAGACAAGAAGAAGATATTGAATTTGTTTACATTTTGTGCTGCTGAACCACCGATGAGCATTTTGGATACTATTTAAATAAAAAACAAACCTTATGGGACAAGTTGGATGCATTTGTTTTTTGTTTTTTTTCCTTTCTTAATGCAAAGTATCGTATCGGACTCGGTATCGGACTCGGTATCGGACTCGGTTTCAAAATAAAGGACTTGGTATTGGATCGGATGCAAAAATAGTGTGATCAGGACATCCCTAATACACACACACACACACACACACACACAACTTCTAACATTAGAGGCTGGTACAAAATGGCCCTTTGTCTGTTCTTAAAGTGTTGATTGATGGTCATTGTTAAACCNATATATACCTCCTTGAACACATCTTGAAAATGCAAAGCTGATTTTGAGCCACTTTGATATCAGCTGTGTCAATGTATCTACAAAACCCTGGATTATGTTCAGTGACAAAACGTTTAGCCATTCAAGTGCATGTCTCTGTGGATGTTAGTTGGTCGGTCCACCATTTTGGTCCGGGCTGAAATGCCATTGAAGGACATTCATGTTCCCCTCAGAATGAAGAGTAATAACTTTTAACCTTTAACTTTTCCTTGAGCATCACCATCTGGACAAATCTTAAATACATTCAAGGCTTTGACTACATTTTTGTCCAAAACTTATTTTCATCTAATAAGCTAAAAAGATGAAGAATATGGTAAACGTTATACCTGCTTAAAATTGGGGACTGCCCATTGTTCCAGTGACTCATATTTCCAAAACCCCAATAGTCCAGAAAAATGTCCCAGTAGACCAAAAGTCCATTTGTCTGATAGCTCCACAAACAAATGCACATTGCTCCAAAGGGCTGTGTCCCAAAGTACATGGCTAATTATCAAGCAAAATGAAATCACTGGACTCTGACCGACTTTTGCTTGTTGGCTTTGTTGGCCTGGAAGGGTCAGGTTAGGCATGGAAAATGAGATCGGTTAGGGTTAAGGTAAAAATATGAGGGTAAGCCAATCAGAGGCAGAGTTGGGTGGATCATGTCTTCACATTAGTAGGAAGATCTGATGATGTCATTTTGCATAATAATTAGCCATGTGACTCTGTTTGGAGGAGGCTAAGGGTTAGCACCTTCAGTGCAACGCACATTTGTTTGGTCAGACAATGACCTTTTAGTCAAATGGGACATCTTTTGGAGGATTTGGACATTCAGAATTATGAGCTGTTGGAACAATGGTATGGCACATTAAGTCATCATGTTAGCACTGTAATTGTGAGCATGTTAGCATCACAGACTGTAAAAATAATGGACACAGCTACCACGCCATCACCCATTGGTTTGTGGACTCTGTTTTGAAGCCCAGAGTTCAGCATTTTAGTCATCTCCATCTTATTTTTTTATTTTTTTTTTAGCCAGAAATGATATCTAGGCGAGTGGCTGGAGCTGTGGAGGAGCCAGGGCTGGATGTGACTGAGAGCGCTATCAGCAATCAGCCTGTTACTCAAAGTGGCCCACCCTTAATTATGGGTGACTTGAAGCGTGAATAAAATGTAAATGTGAATTATATAAAAAAATCATCCCCTGTACAGCTGTTATAAAGGGGGAAATTAACTACAAAGACCAAAACTGTTTTTAACATGTGAATTTCTGTTGTAACTTTTGGCATTTCAACATGAGCATCAGTGGGGACTGACTGGCTTCTAAAGCCAGCCTCAAGTAGCCATTAGAGGAATGTTTTTGGAACTTCAGCGGAGGTTGCTACTTGGTTAGCATGCTGACATTAGTATTTAGCTCAAAGCAGTGCTGTCACAGAACTGCTAGCATGGCTGTAGACTCTTAGTCTTGTTTTACATCCAGGGCCAATGTTTTTAAATGTCTTGTTTTTATATAATTTATGAATGGCAACTACAGTATGGTTAAGGTTAGGGAAAGATTGTGGTTACAAAAAAAGTTAGTTGTTATAGGATGCTATCTCTGATTTACCCTGCAAGAAAAGTTAGACATGCTACTTGCCCATCCAAAATCTCAACCTCAACACCTTTTACTTTTTACAGGCATACGGGACACACTACTTCCTGCACTGGCACTGGCTGTAAATTGCAAGGTGTAAATCTGTCAAATATTGACATAATTCTGGGGGTACTGCTCTCCAGTAGATAACAAAGAGACCAGTTCAGACCCAGCATCAGAGGGCTCTGGAGTCTTGGTCTGCTGAGATGAATTTTGTCTTCTGTCATAAAATCCGGAGACTGCGGCTGAGGCAAACCAACAGCTGGTCCAGTTTTCATCATCAAATATGTTTAAACTATTTTACTGTCAGGCTGAAGCCAACATGTACACATGTGCAGCACCTGTGTACCTTTGTGGAGTGACAACATTTATTTAGGGGAACATGTGTTGTAATTTTACTGCTAACTGGGTCCAGAGTGCCAAAATCTAGTGTGGTTCGTATGAACTTCATCAAAAAGGCTGCTGTACAACGTAAAAAATAAGGTCATCTGCCATTGCTGTTCCTGTATATGGCAATGTAGCTGTTGCCGTGTTTGGCATTGCTTTTTGTAATTGGCTGACCCTGTTTTATCACAGGGGAAGATCAGAGAAAATCAACCTTAAAGTGAAAAAAAAATACAAGCCAACCTTGCATATGTTCTGCTCCATTCAGTGAAATGCTTTTAAATGCAAAACTCTAAATTGTTTCAAATTGCATGAGGTGGATTTTTTTTGGTTTTCCACAAAAACAGGCCTAGAGTAGGTAAAGTACCACTGACATGTAAAATGGTGGCATCTATGAGTATGCTAACATATTGTGAAAATAATAATAAGCAGTATGACATGCCTAGCTACAACATGTAGGGACTCTGCCTAAAGCCTCTAAATAGAGAGTCAAAACTCATCTTTTTGTCCATCTAATTCTTTCTGCTTCCCTTCTTTTTCCATTTTTCTCTCTTGATCTCTCTCACTATTTCTCCATTTTATTTTCAATATATTTCCTGGAAGTCATTACAACTGACAAAAAAAAATCATCCTCACTCTCCCTGCCTGCCATCTCCTTTCCCCTGTAATCTTTCATTGTTTTCCCTCTAAGTCTCTCTCCCTACCTCCCTCCTCTCTCGTTTTCTGCAAGTTATTAGCGCTGAAAAATCTCTGTATTTTTCTCTAAGTCATTAGAACTGACAAAACCTCTGCCTCTGTTCCTTCTGTAAGTCATTAGGACTGACAGAATCTCTCTGTCGAATCGTTTCATGATGAAACTTCAGTGGCTCTTTTGTCCAGCGTACCGTTCACAGCCCTAAAATACTGCAGGCCGGTTAGTCCCTGAGGTAACAAAGCTTAAAAGCCTGGGTGTGGAAGCCTTCAGCTGGAGCCCCGACTGTCAGAGGTTACCATTTAACATCAGCAGGGGACTCGCCAATATGTCACCCAGAGCTTTTTCTACTAAATGTTCAGAGCTGCTGTGTGCAGCAGAGCTGTGATCAAAGGAAAGAAGCGTTGTCTTGAACGTGCTGTTAGTATGTCCTTTGCGCCTTTAAAAGTCAACAACATGGAGCTTCCTGTTATAAGGTATTGTGGTTCACAAACCTTCAAGTCTATCCTATGCTGATGGTAAGACTGTATGGATGGCCTGGTCCAGACAGAAATATCTCAGTAATCATTGTTTAGATTGTCATGACATTTTTTTCCCAGACATTCATGGTCCCCAGATGATAGATCATAAAGCCTTTGGTGCTCCCCTGACTTTTCTTTGAGATCCACCATAAGGCTCAAATTTGTGGTTTCCAGTGAAATGTCAACACAAGTGAATATAGATTTGGTATACAAATTCATGTCCTCAGGATGCAGCCCATCACAGAGGAAATGTTGGCATTGTATGTTTCTATGAACCACGTTACATTGGTACGTTTCATATATATCATATCAACATTTCTGAAGTGACTTAGTTTGTAAGCTGACTTTGTCATCTGGAGGTGAAGGGGATGGTGGATGGCTTGTCACCTAGCTGAGATGCCAGCCAAGCCGGAGACCAGTGTATGAGACCAATAAATAACAAAACCGGATGTGATTTGGTGGTTCACTGCTGTTTTTCAATGGCTTTCTTTGTAGCAACACTGTTTTGTTTTTGTTTTTGTTTTGTTTTTTAAATCTAGACATATTTATTTTCCCAGCAGGGATTGCACTCCCAAAACCGGGTATTTCAAGCCAAAACAAATCTTTACCCTAACCATAACTAGTGTTTTTTTGTGCCTTAACCTAACCACACAATAACCACAGTGTTGTTGAAATGGAAAGTTTCAATGCATCTGCTACACAATCTCAGTGCCCATTGACTATCAGTCTGACAACAATAAAGGAGCAAGGGCCAGTATTTCTGGCTCTGTAGGCAGGGGATATCTAATATACATCCTCAGTTTACCTGCCGTTTAAACATGATTGGTCAATACTAGTTAGCCAACAAACGAGAATACCAATACAGAAATCTTCCGTGGTCTATAGATGCTGCATACATGCGCATATTCTGTTTATAGAGCTACATAATAATGTGTAAATGTAACATTTCCATTTATAGAAATATACAATGCCAACATTTTTTTGGGCGAGTAGGTTGCAGGATGAATGATGATAACTTTGGTGGTCCTCTGGCTTTTGATGTAGTACAATCATAAGGTCAAAACTTAAATGTGCTTAACACTTTGGCCTATATCCAAATACCTGTACAACAAATTTATCATTTTTATAGAAAAATGCAAACATTCAAAAAAAAGTCTGAAAAAGTAAAATGGCTGTGGGCTGTCCCAACCTCCAGGTTGGACACCACTGCCTTAAAGTTAGAATCCATGTCTGACCAGACATAACAAAAAAAAAATTCACATCTTACCTCTCGACTCCGTCCTGGGAATAATAAATACCATAGGTCTGCACGGCTCCTCCAGTCTCCTCTGGGGGGCGCCAGCTGAGTCGGACAAAACGGCTGGACACTAGGACAGGGACCAGGTCGCGGGGGGCAGAGGGGAGGGCAACGCCTGGGCTGGGGGACACTGGTGGGGGATCAGAGGAGGAGGAGTAAGTCAAGGGGGTGCCAGAAGGAGCAGGAGAAGGGCGAGGAGAAGGAGCAGGTGTGTGGGCGGGCCTATACTGAGTGGGTGTGGCCTCTGTTAACAGTTCATCCAAGGGAGAAGGAAGGAGGGGGGAAGGGAGGAGAAGCAGGGACAAGGATGGGGGAGGTGGAGGGGAGGTGCAGGAGGCAGCGCAAAGAAAAAACAAAAGGAGCAGATGACAAATGAGATGAGCAGATAAGGAACGGAAAAAGACGTGGAAGAGACAAGAAGGAAGAAAAGGAGGAAGAAGAGTGGTAAAGAAGATCACAGGCAAGAAGAAAAAAGCGGCAGAGCATCTGAAGACTCTAGTCATCAATCAATAGATATCAATTATCCTCTCACATTAAATCAAAGCTTAGAATAATGTGACCATCTGATTAATGACTGACAGCTCAGCCTTGCTGGATTAATTCAAACATTCAAGAAGATGTACTTAAAAATTAGGATATTGTTCCTTTGAGAAATTGATGGATGGGGTTTTGGAATAAGTACTTTATAGTGGAGTTATACAGACTCACATAACACTTGTTCTATTCACCATCCTGAGGTAGAACATGAGCGACTAATGAATACATTACAGGACAAACATGAGAGACACATAGGCTACAAATCCTGAGTCTTTGAACCAATGTTAAGCTGTAGTCTGATACTTTATTTGAGTAATGACATCTGATCCAAGGCCCTTCTATTTACACCTGGTATTAAATTTTAAGCCTGCAGGATTAAATCTTGATATGCAAATTAGGTGGGCGGAGCTGTCCTACTTGTAACCAAGCACATACAGAAGCATCGCTTCTGAAGACTTGTAAGGGACTGATTGGCTAGAACATGCAAGGCAAGGGTCATGTGACAGAGAGAGACAGCTGAAGTCTTCACAAAATATGCAGTTCTAGAAGCTTAGTGACATAAGGGGTACTTACAAGACTAGATGGTAAAGTACTGTAGCTAGCAAGCTAATTGCTAACACACTAGTTAGCCGTAAATGTGCTAGCACTCATCAGCCTTAGTCACAGCTCTCTGAGCTTCAGTCGATTTTCTCTATCCCTAACCTTTTACTACTCCAAGACATTGTGTTCTCAGGGTTATAGATAATTTCTAAAATTTCTAGGACCCAGATACTTTGAGTTTTCGATCATTGCATGGTAATCAACGTCCAAATCAGTATTTGAATGCTCCATCTTTCTATAGCATTATCCAAAAATTCTAACTTTTAAACTTACTGATTGGCCTAGTTTTGTGACTTCAGCTGTTTGACCACCTGTGACGGGCTTACAGATACACTAGCAAAATCTGAAAAAAATCAAGTGCCTGGAATAGTTCCAAATTTACAAAGATGACCCCCCAAAAAGTCAAGTGCCAGATATATCAAAGTAAACTGGCATATCACAAATCTATAACCAGCTAGGCAAATCACCTGAAAACTGTAAGTAACAGCTTAACCGTTTTGCAAAGAATTCTTTTTTCATGCTTTAATGGCTAATTTTAATGCAACCTACATACTAACAAAGTAGCTAATTTAAATGCCAAAAAAAAAAAAAAAAAGAAAAAAACTTCATATTTCTTAATGAAGCTTTGATGCCTCAGGATCGGTATTCAGGACAGCCCTAATAATTTCATTCAATTAAGATTATTCAAGTGGGATGAAAAGTTCTCTGAGCTGGCAAGCTTGCTTACTATTAGTTGAAATAATATATCCATGATTCGCAAAGAAAGCTCTCAGTTAGCAAAGTCATGAGCCTGGTCACCATTGGAATAATAAGGTCACACAGCTTATTTCAAAGACCTATTTTTATCATCAGTAACATTCAAACCATTCCTCTTGATTGGAGCAGTTTATATCCCAGTACAGGAGATTAAATAAAGGTAAATGGTGCGACACAGCTAACAAGCTATGGTAGCTCCCTTTATTGTGGACAGGTGGGCACTGTCAGCACAGTCCCTGGTAAATCGGTGTATGTGTTGATTTTGCTGCAAATTTTTTACCATTTTAGATGTGTGGTGTGGTGTGGTGTGGCCAGGCCTTTACTGTAAACAGGTAATCAGAATCAGTGGAGAAGTTTGCTGTCACTAGTGTTAGCTCGGCTACCCCCTGTCACTGACCATGCTCTTGCACATTGTATATGCCCCTCAAGGGTCTCCCGATGGGCTCCACTTATTTTTCCTTTGCAGAGGGATAACCTTTCGACTCTTTGGGTGGATCTTTTTCACAGGAATGTGACCATAATGTGCAAATTCCATTTTAACCTGTATTAACATGTGTTGTTCCTCTTCAGGTTCCTCTCATTAACTGTTTGTATTTATACCTTCAAAAAGCAACTCACTATAATTCATATATAACCCACGTCATCATGAGCCAGGAGGCTGTGATCACGCGACTTATGCACTGCAGGCTGTCATTCATCATATGACGGAATCAAAATAGGGAGTCAGGTGAAATCCCTAAAGTGAGTGCTAAACTGGTCAAACAGACACAGGACTTTGATGCAGTTGACTGCTATTTTTGTCCCAGGTGAAACCAGGAATTATTTTTTAAATTATATATGTGCATAAGGTCATGTCATCACGCAATGTCATGTCTTCACATCACGTACGTCAAGTTACCATGGACCATGATTTGTTTCCTTAACCTATCCTAACCGCTTGGTTGCTAATTCATAACATATATAAACTTTGCGCATAACTTTTCATAAAATATCATACTAATTGTTGCATGTGGATGTGTTGTCCTGATCTATAGGATATCAAGATCATCATGATGGGGTCACTGACACATCTTTAAACACATACACATACAATGTTTCATTTGTCTTAACTACATATCACATCTCCAAACTACACAAAATGTACACTAGCAGCTGCAGGTCAGAGTATCACAGAACAAGAATGTAGTGTTGTGTTTTGATCGGGGTGAACATGTTTTCCTGAATATGTTGATGTAGTATTTAAACACTGATGTAACAAAACAAGAATGAAAATGAAAACAAAAAAAATGACAATCTCCGACTGTTATGTGCTGGTTGAATAAAACTTACTCCAGTTTTATGCCTGCTTATGTTGTATCAAAGTTTTGTTGTTGATCACCTTTCAGGATTATGTGAAACTTGTTGATTTCAATCTTATTCTCAATTTAACCTTTTGATTTTGCTTCAATTCCAATATTTGAAAAAAAAAAAAATCAGGAACATTAATGATTTTAACAAAGAACAATTTATAACTTAAAACTAATCACTTAACTAATATCTTGTATTCAAAAGGTTTAAAGGCATCAAGTTTGCTTCAAAGACTTTTTGTTTTTGAACTGCCTACCATGACAAGAAAAGGTCTTATAATCGACGTTCAAATTAACTAATGATAAAACATTGCTGTAAAACTCTACAGCTGTTGAATGGCATAAATACTCTCGCTTCTAGTGGTTTATGTTTTTGCCACATGAGTTTTTTTACTGAACACTTCCTTGCTTCCTTCTTTTGCTCCTGCCTGCCTTCTTTGCTTCATTGAACCTCTTTCAGAACTGCTTTGATAGATGCAATTGACGGTGCATACAATCAATAAGAGTAGAGTTTTGAAGAGCCTCATGAGACTAGTTAAACAGTCAGAAAATTATAGGCCTTTCTTAATACTGAGTGTGCCAAGTTTGAACTTGTGTTATTTGTATTTCTAACTTGGAGAGAGTCCAACCTTGCAAGAATGCAAAATTTGTATCTGGGACAACAACATTCATTATTAAACTACCAACAAACCTGAACAACTGAAACAGGGTTCCCAGTGTGTCTTCCAGCAGCATGCAGCTAAATCTGTACACCTGTTTCTGTCACTGTTATGTGTGTTTAAGGCTAAAGACTAAAGTTAATATCTTAAGTTTAAGTTTATTTCCTTTATTAATCACCCTGAGGAGAAATTCAATGTTTTCACTCTTGCTTGTCAATTACACACAGGTTCGAAAGACACACACATGCACAAACAGGACCTATACATGCACAAATTGGAGAGATGTCAGAGTGAGGGGGCTGCCCTTGGTGAGACGCCCCAAGCGGTTGGGGGGTTCGGTGCCTTGCTCAAGGGCACCTCAGCAGTGCCCAGGAGGTGAACTGGCACCTCTCCAGCCACCAGTCCACGCTCCATATTTTGGTCCGGACGGGGACTCGAACGGGCGACCCTCCGGTTCCCAACCCAAGGCCCTATGGACTGAGCTACGGCCGCCCCTTCTTACACACACTGCCTCATGTCATTGCCTTGTATTCGTTTTCACTGAAATGTGGTAAGATCTAGAAATATAAGCAGCCAAAAGTACACAGATGTAGCTCAGTGTTTCCCCTATATGCAACTAGCCGCTTTCATTTTTTATTTATTTACATGACGGCATGTCATTTCTGTCTCTACGTAGTCGTGCGTTTACAATTTTCCTCTGCTCTCTGTATCGCGCATGGCAGAGTTTCGCCTCGATGCATGCGCGCACACACACACACACACACACACACACACAGGTGAGCACACTAGAGCGCGGCTCAGGCTGCATTTTCCTGACCAAACCCGAACCAAGTCCAAGACAATTATAACTGAGCCCGGCCTGAACGGAGCGGATTCTGTGTTGCGTTCAGGCGTTGTCACGTACATAACAAATTCCAGCACTTGAATAGGCCATAGCACAACACAGCAGCGTGTCAAGTGGGACGAACCCAAGCAAAATTTTTGATTTGTTATCCGACCGACCTCATCAAGATAAGCAGTAGGTGACAACAAATTATCCAGTCAGTTGCAGTTATACCACTGCAGAACAACAGAGTGGGACAAAGGAAAGCAATGGCTGTATAATAATGGAGAACATACTGGGCCATGGAAATACAGAGTTTTGACCATACATTATCATTTATTTGCTGAATCAGTTTCTTTTGCACTTACTTGTCACTTATCAACAGTCGCATTCTCCCCCCACGTACAAA